TATCTGAAAAATCCACATATTCCAGAGTCTTCCTATCAGTTCAACTTTTTCCTGTCTTATCACTTACCGCAGTCTTCCGCATAATCCAGTCCAGCACAATAAGGATGTCATGGTGAGTAATAGTAGGTAGCCTTGTTTTACTCAAGCTTCTCACCAAGTTTTCCGTTTTGGATAACATGACACGTGACAATGTTATATAACTGTTGAATGAGCTTGATAAAGACTTGGGCAGTATACACCGTAGTATTGAAGCAGTTTTGATGATAAAATTATTAAAATGGGTATCAGCCTATACTCGCACATAATTTCAAATAAGTTTTTTCTTTTCACTTGAAATTTTCCGAGGAAAATGGAAAAAACATTGGAGAGTAGTATGTGTGTGGATGGATGTCCCACAGACGACATTGTGGTTGGGGTCGCGCTTATAGAAGTTAGAAATCATGAGCCACTGAATCGGGTCCCAGTGGCTGAATGGTATACGAACTTGCCTTGCAACCGGAAGGTCCTGGGTTTGAACCCTGGCAGTGGGTGCGATGATTCCCAAACTAGGATGAAACAGCTGTCTGGCAGTACTCCCTGCTGGTTTTCAATGGTTCTCTATCTGATATCAATCTGTGATCAACTCGTAAAAAACAAAACTAACCCTTACAAACCAAACTGTAGAAACTTAACTGTACATATGAGATAATTTGAGTTTACGATGTTGTTATTGCAATCATAACAGACAGTGTTTTTGCTGTCTATGGAGCGTTTTGTGACTGTACATGCTTGTGTTTCAAGGAGGTTTTTTCAGCTACTCACGAGAACATACAGCCCGGTTTCCCTACTTTTAGACTGCAACGAGTCGGTATTGGTATTATTGTTACTTTCTGCTTCTAGATGGGTATTTCTTGAGCATAGTTTTAATCACGTAAATCATTGTTTTAAACTCTTCAAAGATCTATATATGTATATAATATAATAACCAGTGAAGCTAACGGACAAGAAAGTTTTTTTTCCAGTTTTTTAACAAGCCAACTCCAATTAGAGTCACTGAAGACAAGGGATTACGGAATACCTATCTTGTTGTAGTTCGGTACTCTTCATAAGTGTGTCCACCTACGATCACACCAGAGACTAAAGCCAGGACTTTCAGGTAACATGAAGAGATCATCGTTCGTTCACTCGTTGATACGGATTCCAGCAGTTCATCAATTCTAAATTGTTTTCACACCCAACTTTGTTGACACCGCTAGTTACGACTTCTCATTAGCACTTCAGATAACATCACTGTGTAATCAGATAGCAGGGAGCATGATATCAGTTTTTCAAGTGTTGGCTTGCAAGCATCCCGATTCACTGGCTGAACTCTAAACAAGCTCACCTAGTAACCTGGTGGTAATGGTAAATTTGAAGAGTCTCGATGCAGAACGAAACGATTGTGTTGAGACTCCCTAGTTTTCGATGGTTCTCTAACGAAAGTCAGCTCGTAATCAAGCATGAAATCATTTAAATCCATGCAAACCAATGCTTGAAAAGATCTTTTTATTATAAAAAACGCATTCAACAGAAAGCTCAGTGTAAATCACATGACTTGCTAAATATATCATGTTTCAAAGATATCTTTTTTATTTTACAGAAAATTAACATTAGACTGAATAAGACTGACAGTTTTCCCATCAGTTCCTGAACTCATAGACTTGCTTATGCTGAATAAGGCTGAATTAAATCCCTGTCGAATTGTAAAAAAACCAAATATCCTCGTTTCATAATATATTTATGGATATGGTGTATATGTCCTTTTACGATGTGCTATAAAATTCGTGTTGTATTCATCGCGTCAATCAAAATGATTCGTATTTCATCACTTCCGGTGGAAAAGAAGGTTCCACTGTGTAGACACACCTGTTATCTGGGCTTAAGAGGAATTATTTAAACAAGCCTTCTTGTCTGTATTTGGTTGCTCATGTTGCGTTTTATCATCGCAACTGATACAAGTCGACAAGGATGTTTTTGACAGACAAATACATTCACCGCTTACCTACCACGATAGATTATATATTTAATATAGGCATTATTAGTTGAATTAACGTCTAGTAAAATTCAAGTACTGATAATGCCAGACAGATAAACTGGAAGACGCTCCTTGTTGTCTTATTATTTCATCCTTGAGAGTTACAAGGTCACAGATGGAACAGGAGATATATTGAGCCTTATATTAATAGCGTATAGTCTATAATGTTAAGTTCCTCTTAAATTTTTGCATTTAGTTATATAACTAGACGTAAGCAATGGCATTCTGTTGAAATGCTCATTTAAACATGACCAACAGATTGTCTGTTATGGGTGATATGACAATCAAGGTCAGTCTGGAAGTAAACCAATAAGAATTGGCCTAAGTAAAATAACGCCCACTGCTTTATTGGTCATGACTATCGACTAATTGATATAACCTTGGTGATTCTTTGAATTATACGTCATTGTTTAAACTATACTGTGACTAATAATGAAAATCACCTTTCGGTTGACTTCTTTGTGTGTTTTCGCCTAAGTAAAGAGGGCTGAGGCATGGGTAGCTGTTGTATAACGTTGCAGGCGTAGCCAAGCAGTATTCGTGATTACCGCGTCTGTGTTCAACTCAGCGTCCCAATACCAATCTCAGTGTTTTGCGAAAATATAAGAGTGGTGACATAATATCACATCGTTTATTTCAAAGCCAATCAGAAATCAGGGTAATAGGTAGGAGGAGAATGCTGCGATAGCATTGTTACGTGTCTGATTCGATCTTGTCTATTCAGAAAGACTTGTGAAACTTTTATTTTAGACATTTTCCAACCATATGTGTAAGTTAATAATTAAGAACACAATATTCAGCGAAGAGACTCTTTTCAACAAATTTGTTATCAAGCTGTACAATCGCATAAACATTGTTTTTAAGAAATTATATCCGGTGAGGAAATTAGATCAAAGGTGTGAATACATGAAGTTATAATAGTAGTATGAAATGCAATTAAAATGTCTGTGATTGTGGTCATAGTTAGATGCCAAGTAGCAAAACAGTTAATGTCATATATAGAGTTATACAAAGGGTGTATAAATTTTGAAAAGGAAACCTTATTCATGAAGTTGGAGCTCAAAGGTGATCAAGCGTCAGGTACGCTCAAAAACCGTCTTTCTAAAGCAGTCAGTAATACGTTCTTTGCAGCGAAATTAAAAAATGACGTTCACCAGCCTCAATTTGTTCTCCATCTCTGGCCGCCTCCATGTGCATCTATCGGTTCACACGCTCTTGTGGAGGAAAGTACATTGGCCGTAGCCAGAGGACGCTTTCCCCACGGGTACGAGAACATATTCCAGCATGGTTTTACAAAGGAGAAAGGAAGTGTGTGCGAAACTCTATTCTAGAACATTTGATTGACTCCTGTCACTCTACCAACACTGATCATGACTTTAAGATCATCTACAGAATCCATGATAACTCACCAGTGGCATTTTTCTTCGTCACAGACTTCTAAAAACAGCGAAAGCTTTGGCAGTTCATGACTTTAAGCCAGAACTTTGCGCACAAAAGAAGGATGTACAATCCCTACTTCTGCCTTGGCCATAGAGAGATAGAGATTTACTTATTAATTAGTCTACGTACCTTTCCATCAATACTACGATTATGCTTATTATTATTACCATTCTCACTCTGAATTGTTTCCGCTCGTCGCACTTGTCATTCTAAATCCAAAAATATTATTTTTTTACAATATTGAATTCTATCTTATCAAATTTCACATTATGTTATGCAACATTTTATATTCGCCTACTAATCCTATCATTATTCACCCCTTTCCAACATCCATACACCTTATGAATTATTCTATATATGACATTAATTGTTTTGCTACTTGACATTTAACTGTGATCATAATCACAAATATTTTGATTGCATTGCACACTACTATTATTATATCATGTATTCACACCTTTGATCTAATTTCCTCACCGGATATAACTTCTTAAAAACAATATATATGCGGTTGTACAGCTTGAAAATAAATTCGTTGAAAAGAGTCTCTTCGCTGAATATTGTTTTTTTTAATGCTGCTATAGTAATTATTAAATTACTGAAAATTAATAATTGTTTTGAATAACAAAAAAAATAGGAAGAGTATTTTAAATAAGATTATTAGTTTAGTTTAATACGGTAATGAATTCAAAAGACAAGTGAGACCTAAGGAGTATAGCTGTTTGATTTTTATAACAGTGTAAAGGTAGAACTGTAGGGTTTTTAACTGATTTTGCCATGAACTAACATTGGTCAGGGAATCATTGGAAAACCTGCAGGAAATACTGGACAACTGTTTAGTTCCCCTTTTAGACTCTTCCCGGCACGTAGCTACCGGAGTTAGAACCTAGGACATTCTGGTTACAAGGCAAGCCCGTAGACTAGTAGGGTAAAGGAGGTAGGGTATGAGGAAAAACACTCGCCGATGACATTATCTCATGATTGAGCTACATATATAGTGAACTGTCGGAAGTTGGAATTCATAGTCGATTAAATCAAGTCCCAGTGACTGAATGATCTGCGAGCTCACTTTGTAACCAGGTCATGGATTTGAATCTCAGTGAGTGTGTGTTGCCTAAGAATTCGAGCCTAAGACCAAACAGCTGTCCAATACTCCCAGAATTTTTAATGGTTCTGTAACCTATATGTTCAGTAATGATGAAATCCCGTAACCAATCAATGAAATCCCTACAAACCAACACCTGGAATTGATATAGTCATTATTCGGTAGTAATTAAAATCAATAATTTCTATTTCTTAGAAGACTAAAGTTAATGGGTATTTGATTGCATTCAATGACATACAGCTACTCATCCGGTAATATAAGGTATCAGTAGACAACTTCTTCATGTCGAATAAGAAACGTTCACCCTAGTACATATCCATGTTAATCTGTTAAACTTCAGGAAGTAACGTTTTATAAAACAATGAAAGAAATTATTTCAAAAAATATATATAACAGACTTACCTAATAAACCTCTACACATAAAATTGTCACTTTGTTTGTCTAACTCAGAAGACAAGTCAGTCTCATCTGAAACTTGTTCAAGCTTACTATCTTGTAACTTTTGAAATGATGGAATGATTAGGGAATTCTTCTTCACTAGTAAATTATTGTTAATTGTCATTGTATTGTGTGGACATTTACATCCATAACGTGGTCTGAAATGAATTCATTCAATGAGCAATAAATTAACTCTACACTTTTAATGAAGATATTAAAAGACTGTAAAAGTTGTATTGTTTAGATTTTACTTAAACATGTGATTTTAAAATATATATGATGAGCTTAACATGAGTTGAGAAAGGGCTTACTCTGTGTGATATACTCTGTCGGATTTGCAAGAAATATGAAGATATTTGTGAGAGGTTATTAGAAGACAAAATTATTTATACTTCAGAACAATTGACTGTGTTCTTCAACGTAGTTTATCTTCATAGATAATGCTAGAATAGACATGCTAGTCACCTTTGTTGAAGAGCACAGTGGCTATAGAGTTTTATTTGAATTCAGTGACATTATCAGTATATGCATATGCATACGTATGTATGTTATGATAGTTTCATTGGGTTTTTTTGGATACAGTCTCGAACAATAACATCATCGCTACATTCAGTGATACTTTCCTAAGAGGTGTAGACTAACGCTGAAAGCATCTCTATTTCTAGGAGAAGTATAGTCTTCGAGCAACAGAATTTCCCAAGCATTCAAAAATATCATGTTGACTGAATAATGTTTCCAACTCATTTTGTAAGTTCTTTCAGTGAGTTATTATTATTCGCTCGGGTTCCTTGTGGAATATAGGGCTCCAGCAGCTTATCGTCACTTCACCCTGTTGTTTTTAATCCCCTACAGTTGGCTTAATGATTGCTCATAATCTCTCAAATCTTCCTCACACGATAGGATTCACCGTAAACTCGTCGCTTTCCATCTGGATTCTATTCGAAGACCTATCGTGTAATTTCTCCTCAGCTTATGTCCAGATAGTCTCTGTTCTTTTCAATAATTAACGGGTGATAAATTCTTGGTGGGTTTGTTGTCAGAGTTCTTTGTTGCTTACTCTTTGTAACAGTCTAATCTTCAGTATCGAGGCAGTGAAGGTATTTTTGATACATGTGTGGAGGTCGAAAAAATATCAAATTGTACGTTCATTGTAATGTAGTAAAAATAATGAATTCGGTGCATATCATGCTGGTTAAGTGATACAGAATAAGGATACCATCTGGTTCACCACGCATTATGGACGACACAACATCCCTTCTTCAGCTTCTTGCTTTCCACTACTGCCAATCATCTCTGGATCGTATACTTGATGCGCATATCCACTTTCGGATTCATTCCTTCAATCTCCTATTATTTTCGCAAATACCCTTGGTTTTTTGGTATTCTCTTACGTGGAGTAAGCAACTACAGACCATGAAGGACTGCGTCATCGCTACAATTCTGTACGTCTTTATTTGTGGATTTTTGGAGGAATTTTAACTCATCAAGTATCTGTATTATATATATATATATATTACGAAATATGTATACAAGATTCGATCAAACCTATCAAAGGGAGTAAAATCAAGACATCTGGGCATAGTCAAGGCACTAGCTATCCAAAAGAAATATGTTCAACTTTTGTCCCTGACATGGCCATCATAAATAGGTACTTCCTTTAATAGTGACTATCCCATTGCCTTCCTTATCCAAACTTCCTGTTTATTCATGTTATTTTTAAGTTTTCTTAGTCCCTGCTTACACTACCATATTTTCATATCCCAACTTCCTGCATATTTTGTCATTTTGTTATTTATACATATTTAATCCCTGATTGCATAAACAATTATTCGTCACATAACTTATGATGCAACTAGATTTTTTATCCCAACATCCTGTCTATTTTTGTTATTTGTACATTTCTAATCCCCAATTGCACAATATGTCAATTTTCTCAGTAATTATGATGCTACCTTGTTTGAGTTTTATCAGCCCCCCTGTTAATTACGGCATTTTAATTCCTAATTGTAATTTTTATTAATAATAATAGCTTTATTCTTAAACAGTATTTGTGGTACAGGTATGGAATTTTCAGCGTGCATTACAATATTGCATCTAATTACCTCATAAATTTTTATAAGATTTCAAAAATAAAAAGCAACAACAACATATTTAAACAATGCACCACAGGATATGAAATGTAAAATTAGTGTGTAATAGAATATGTGAGCAACAATATAATAGTAACAAAGAAAGGAGAACAAAAGCTAATGGGAACTATTTGTTAGAGTGCCGCAGTGAGTTGATCGTGTCATACCTAACAGTTTTATTATTATTATTTCGTGACACTCTAAGTCTGTGAAATATACAGAAGAACTGTCTTGCCATTAGTGTCGAAGATTCGAGTCATGTCCCTCTGTGCTAGGTGAAGTAGATTTCAGAGGAATAAATGCTTGTTTTGCGTTTCCTATCCTGCCTATGACATCCTTATATGTACCACTTGTGGTTGCAATTCATTCCTACATGAGTAAATCAAATCATTCTGGTATTTGTTCATTCAGTCAATTTTAGGTAGACAACTGTGGAAGGCATTTTTCGAAGAAAGAAGGTGTGATCCAATAGAGTAGTAATTTATGTAAGGACTGATAACAACTCATAAACTCTATTAAAGTGAGAGCTTCAGGGAGATAAGAGTATAAAATCCACCTCTGCCTTTGACATCCTCTTTTTCATTAAGGAATAGACATTTTTGATTTTTTACTGAGAAGGATGAACTGGTCAAAATACGATATATTAACAGAGTCTGTAGGGTGGATCTTATCAGAGACCATCCTGAATTTATCACTTTGCGATTATATTCAGCGTGTTAGTTGCTGGATAGTCCCAGTGTCGAGGAATCATGCCTGATCCAATCGGGAGTTCTTTCTTTAGTGTTTTCACTGAGGAATGAACCAGAAATTCGTTTAAACATTATACACAAAGCTACCAATCTAAATAAAGCACATCTCACACACATTTTACTCTGTGTCCATTTACTAACTAGTATAGTACATCAGAATGCAAGTGAATACATCTATAAGATATTGTAAGAATAAAATTGGCTTGGTAAAATAACACATTTTTCAGATACTTTGTGTTTATTTCACCCATACTACAGAAAATTGACTAGTAACTTGTAATTAAAACTCTCAGGAGAACAAACTCTCATTGTAGCGCCATTACCAAACATCTCCTTGATACGGGTCATGAGGTGGAAATCGTGAAATCCTTTAAAATTATCAATGGACAAAGAAGCTCAGTATTCCTCAAGTTTGCCAAAGCAATTTCTGTCAAACGCTTGAAACCAGATTAGTGTGTTCAGAAAGAAGCAGTTATTAGCCTTTCCTTGCCATGGTGACTGGATGTATTTATTATCTCTCTTTCATTTGATTACGGAATCTTTGGCTTTAACCTCACCCACCCACCCCCACTTTTTTTTTCCTTCACGTTCCCCAGTGGAACATAGGGCTTCAAGCTAGTGGCTGGAAGTTTCTGTAGCAGTGTTTATTTTACAGGATGGGGTTGCTAGCCTCATGCCCAACCTTTCCTCTTTACCAGCATTATTTCTGGCTTAGCGAGGTAAAGGAGTATGTCGGCCGAGGATTGAACCCCGGACCATGTGCATGGCCGGCGAGCGTCCTAACCGCTATGCCACCGACGCACGCCCCCACTTTTGATATAGTGTAATTAAGCTTGTCTTTTGTTTCTGTTATTTGAGTTGAACTCAGTACATCGTTACCTGGTTTACTAGTCACTCAGCATCTGACACATCTTTCGTCCCTATTACGTAATTCCTTTAGCATTGTATGCATACGTTTGCCTTGTTTAAACTTGAACTCTCATTGAAAAAACAGTATAAGTGTAATTTTCTGAGCACTGTTCACTAATTGCGGAACGTCCTGTTAACTGACATCGTGTAAAATTTGCAAGTGTGTTTAAACTTCTCTGTACATGAACTTAATAATAATTATATATATTTAGGCTGTAAGCATGAGCTGATGAGAAGCCAACGAAATAAACAATGATGGCAGGATATTATTCTCCACGAACCACTATTGTTTTTGCTTTATTCAAAATCTCAAATGCACAGTTCACATGTCTGAATGTTATAAGAGCCCTAATGAACTTAGAATGGCCTCAGATTTTCTAACATAATGTATTAAATTATCAATATTGTCCTCTTGGTTTGTCAGTGAAGGGTAAGGCTTCAGTAGAACATATCCACTTTGTACTATTTTCTGAGTTTCTATTAAGCCGGCTGTATGATTGGCCATAATAACTAAACTCCTCCTTGCATGATATCCTCCATCTCACGGTTGGAAACACGTCAAACGCGTTTTTCATCATTCATCCAACGGTCTCATCAGCGTGTGTCCGATCCATCCATCTTCCATATATTTGTTGAGCAGTAGGTTCATGGTTGCTTCTGTCCTAGAGTTTCTTCTTGCTAATTCTCTCCGGTCGGCCGGCTGGCTGGACATTTGATCTTCAGTATGGAGCCAACCAGTGTAGGGAGCAGCTGCTGATAAAATCCTTCAGTGGCCTGTTGGAAATCCTTTATTTGATGCGCTCCTCACGTTTCTGACCCATATCAAGGAAGGAACCTAATAATGACATGGAAAATCTTAATGCATAAACTCTTCTAAGGTAAGTTATCATCCTTGGCTTAAGCAAGGTAGGATACACATCAATGAATATGATCAGTCCTAATTCGCTTACTTTTCATTTTGTCTGTTTGGCTGTATTGATTTATTATGCATAGATCCCTTTTCATTTTCAATTAAGTAACAAACTCCATGGTAACTTTTACATTTCATACAAAAATTGTTTGAATACTGATTTATATAGATTCCTAGAAATGAAAGAAGAAGAATGTAAGGAATATCTAATATGTTTTGGAAAAAAACCCACCAGGAAGACATTGACACATTGAACTCAAATACCCCTAGGTTAAACTGATGATATCAGATTGATTTTGAAAAAAAATAACAGAAAGTTTCTATATATATTCAGAAGTCATAATTTTCATGTTTTTATTGCTTATCAATCCCTTTTTTGTGGTTAGCCTTCAGAAATCAAAGGTAATGAATAAACATAAAGTTCATTTTCAGTGTGGTAATATAAATTAACTAATTGTTACCGGATTATACTACTTCCTTACTTTCTGTTTAGACATCGGTGAGTGAGAAGCAAGAAGCCTATTGACTGATTTAAGTCCTGCAAGGTATTGTCTAGAATTCAAAATCTTATTGATTTACTCCATTCAGATTTTCACTTAGCTAGTCTCATATACTAGATGGTTGAAGGCTGGAAGCAGAAAGTTCTAGATCTAAGGTTCGTGCTTGTTGACAGTCGTCAGCAAGGTGTTTCTGGAATCCTTGAGGAACTCGTGCCCCTCTTGAGATTTGAACTCGCGTCATCACGTCCATTGGCGTTGTCACATATGTTATCACTGAGCTCTTCGAGCCTCCAGCCGTCTAATATCAATTCAGAGTGTACTGTGGTGACGAGTATTCACTCTACATCAAACCAAGGACTAGACGCATGATGCTAGTTACTATCTAGTGAGCAATCAAAGTAGTATTATATGTCATGTGTTCCACGTGAAATCAGCTGAAAGTGTCGTCGTCAGTCTATACAAAGCTTAAATTACACATACCATTCTCTAGTGGGTTTTTATTACCAATGTATTTTTGTATCATTAAACTAGGAGGCTAGATAAGAAAACGAGTTATCCCAGTCAGAGATCCTTTTAAAGAACGTGGGTGAAGTGATTAGAAACATGAGTCGTATTCCATTCAAAATTGGTTACAATGAGGAAAAATTGGGCTTTTTCTTGAAATGACAAGAATGACGCAGGAGAAAGTGGGTCAATTTTAAAAATCGTGAGTAAAAAAGTGAAAAAAGTAGGTGATTTGTCCTATGAAAACGTAGAAAAAATGGGTAAGACTGCGTAGTTGATTTTTTGAGAAAATGGAGGAAAAAGGGGAGTGTCAGTAATGACGTGAAGAAATGCCTTTACCCTGTCCCACCTGATTGTATACTGATTAAATCCAATGCAATGGTTGAGCTTTCACCTTGTGTACTTAATTTAGCAGCATCAATCATTCTCGGTCTAGCTAAATTTTCATGTTCCAATGGTCTCACTGATACCGATCTGTTGGTCTGACCAATGTATTTTTTAAAATTGTATTATAGCTTGACTCCACACCATATTTTTGATACAAGTATGAAATTTTCAGCATGTGATATCGGTAGCCCAAATTTGGTAGGCCGACCATTGATATCGGGTGTGCGTCCGCCGGGGATCGAAAACCAGACCATGTGCATGGTTGGCGAGCGTCCTAACCACTGTGCCACAGTTATTGCCTGGTATCTGGTAAATTACATTATTCTTCTTAATTGGATCTATCATATCCTCAGGTAAAGAAAATTTTCTCACTGAGTGAATTTGCTGGTTTGAATGCCACCTTAATTCTAGCCCACTGAAAATCCTACATAAGGCCTCTGATGTTTCTTCTTCATACGGCAGTACAAAAGGGGATTTGAATTCTATATTATTTACTTTATTTTCATCGTTTTCATGGTTATTAATGCATTTCTGAATAAATTCTGGTGGTTAGTTATTCACTAGTAATACTTTCTTCATTTCTTTGATTCAAACCCTTTGGCTCAATAGTCCGGCTTCTGGCCCGATTATTCAGACATTTAACTAGACCAATCTTTGCCGATTCTGGATGGAATGAATTGAAGTCTACAAACTTATCACAGTGTGCCAATTTCCTAAAAATGCTAGTATCTAACCCACCAATTTGTTTTCGTTTTATCTTACAGTGTAGCATGGACAACTCACCCTGTTCGCTTCCTGACTCAGGAGTGAATTACATTCCGTCTACTATTAAGTTTATGCGTGAAGAACTGGGAGTTGTGACCAGAACACATATGTACATAATGCATCACTCTGTGTGTCATTGCAAATAAACCTATCTAAGGTGAAATTACATTCCGCCACTGAGCTCAGGTTCTACGCTTACTTTAAAAGCGTTTGATTGTGCGCTTCTAGCGTCAAAAATTAGGAAATCAAGTTCTCTAGACGTTTCATGCTAAGACACACAGAAATTAAATGCTTTTCTCAGATTATCGTCACTAACATTTCATATAACTGGTTTCAATGATTCTTGAACATGGATGTCAGGAATTGACTGAATGAAAATGAAATACAGTCACATAATTCACTTACTACAAGCATGTTCTTGTGGTACGTAAATAGTTCCTGATGGACAAATACATGCACCAGCTCCTGGATGACATATACTATTCTTGACGTATTTGCAGTCACCATCCAATTGGCATTTATGATTTGTTAGAACTATAATTAAAGACAAAAGTACATGAACACATTTGAAGACTGTAACGAGTATTAATCAAGTTGTTATAAAATTTATAAAAAGAATCAAGGTCGCAACAGTATTGCAACGATCAAACTGAAAACCTTTATGTCTGAGAGGAAAACATCAGGGCTACAGACATTTGTATTACTGTTAAGCACATCACTGTTCAGGATCATTGGTGCCATAATTTCACTCCTGGATTACTTAACGACTCCGTTACCTTTCCATTCATGTCAGACAATGCTCAAGGATGTGACACTGGGCATTCTCGTTCGTTCTAACCTTGTAGCTCTCTCCACAAGAACAAACTCGGCAGTTTTTCCTTGAAGGTCATTAGAAGTGTAAAATGAGGAGGTAATTCCCAAATATATTTCATCGGTCAAGAATGTTGTTCCTATTATTTTTCGAAGTTTTGATGCTAGTAATGCAGTGACTGCGTCTCCCTTACACATCAAGTGATATGTACAAATATACGTATATATATGTATATATATATTTATATATATACGTATATGTTTCTACAACTCAGTGTGCATGCACCTCTGTCTATCTGCTCTCATCATGGAGACTTAGACAAAACTTTCTCGCTATTCGTTATCATATCACACGTTTCCGTGGGTCCTTATTTTGTCGTCTAGTGTGTGGATTGTGCAGATTCTTCTAGCATGAGATATCACAGTACTGATGAGATTTCGTTCAATGTATGAGACTAGAGCTGACGACCTAGTATTAACATTTTATTCTTATTCTCCTAGATTCGGTTAGATTCTCTTGATCCCTATTGTTTTATACCTGTGTCCATGACTGATATTTTTTTAATATGTAATAGTGACGCTTGGTGAGAATTTACCGAAAATTGGTGTTTGATCCCTTGAATCGTGGTCGAGATCCATCGAACAGTTATACGAAATCATGATTCTCACTGGCGACCATTTATGACACTTTTTAGAAGTCTTCATTTGTGAAACGTCATTCAAAATTGATGCCGCTTTGATTTACATTCATTGAGAAATTCAAAACTATCTAGAATTATGAATTTCATACACCCAATACCGAAATATGCACATATTTATATACTTGAATAAGAAGAAAACAGAGGAGATGAAAATATTCAAGTATTGGTTTTGTAGGGATTTTTTGTTTGAACAGATGAAAATAACCAGCCAACCAATAACAACTATGGATCACTGTCAGCAAAATACATTTGAAAGAGGCTTCCACCTTCAATTGTTTAGGCAGTATCAAATCAACTACAAACGGGACTGATGAGACTGTCAAAGCCAGTAATCAATTTGGAAATCTTCTGCACTTGGTGCGACGAACGAAATTCACATTTTCGATACGAATGTTTAGTGTATCAGTTCTTCTGTACGGGACAAAAGCCCTTCATGTGCGTCACAGGAAACATTTCCCACAATCAATTGGAGAATTTCATCAGCAGGGGCTTTCTTTGTCACCATTCTGAAGATTGAGTAGCCGACGAGGCAGAAAAAATTAGCGACAAGAACCACTGAGAACGAAGTAATCGTGCAACTATCGCTCGACAAATACGCCGAAGGAAATGGAAATAGATGATGCGCACCCTAACGGGTGACATCGCGTGCCAGTCAGGCCATCACTTGAGTGGAAGACCAGTGCGAAGTGGCAAATTACGTCGAGATCCGCCAAACAGTTATTTGATTTCATTATTTTCATTGGTGAACATATTTGACACCTTTCGGTTTTGTTGCACTCAGGATTTGACTGAAGCCAGCGAAGTTTTCCTCTGCCTGGAGATTGATCTTTTGAATTATTTGCTAGTATCTTAGTTATCCTTCTTTGTGATTCGATTTCATCTTACTTTTAATATATCTAATAAAAAATGTCTCTTTTAAAAGCAATAAGTGAAAATTATTTATGTCCAAACCAAGTTCACTTTTACAGTTTTAAAAAAATACGGACATTATATGTATGATATTTTGTATTTCCCAGTGAATAAAATAAAAAAACGATATTGCTTTCACTGATGTTTTGATATTTAATTCAGCTAAAAGTGTCATCAAAGTCTTATTACAGCAGAATTTGCAAAATCTCAGCTTATCTATGACATCTTTCTTAATCATCATTCCTCAGCATGAGGTAATTTTTACGTTGTCAAGTTGGTCAGTTGGTATGGATAACAAAACCAAGTGTAGATTGTTGGATTCGATAAGCGCATATAATTATAAATGCAGCATGTGTTTACATAATGAAATCGCTTATCAAATTCATGTGGATTTTGTCATTTCATGGGATAGGGAAGGTGGTGTCTTAACCAGGTCAACTTTTATTGAAGTCTATCATTCTTATTCAGACAATTTAGATTCTATTTAACGTAATATGAACTGCTTCTGATATCAGACGTTCTTAATGATGCCCGGAATTCTTCTGCATTACTTCAATATTAGTTGGAGGATTTCATCATGAGCTGACATCAGTTAGAGAGGCGTTGAAAAACAATGGAGTATCGGACTTTTCATCGGAACACAACCACCGGGGTTCGAACCCAGTACCTTCTCGTTGCAGCAGGTTGAAGGTGAGGCAGTAACTTGGCGAAGAAGATGTTTATAAGTGGTCTCGCTATGTCGTGAATTGGCAGAAGTTAGGATTCATGGGCTGGTCATTGGATCGGGTCCCAGTAGCTCAACGCTCTACGAGCTAGCTCGCCTTGTAACCAGAAGGTCCTGAGTTTGAACCCCTGTGGTGTGTGCGTGCTGTTGAGGAGTCCAAAACTAGGCTGATGAAAAGGGTGCTCAGTACACTGTACTGATTTTCCAATGGTTCTCTCTAACTGATGTCGGCTGATGTTTAAATCCTGCAACTAATCAAATTAAATCCCTGCAAAAACCAGTAGCATTTAGGCTACCTATGGCTGATAATTTCTCAAGCTTTTCCAGTTCAACTAATGCTGATAAATGATGACTAAGTTACTGTATTTTATTTGAGATTTTGTAAATTCTGTACAGTAATAATAATAATACTTTGATAGCGCTATTAGGAGCATTAAATAGCTAAACATCAGTAAAAACAAGAATATCGTTTTGTTTTACATTCATTTAGGCAATACAAAATCTTTTATAATACTTCAAAAGTTTCTCTCTTTTATGAGAAGATAATTTCAGTAATGCAGTAGTTCAATTAATTAATACCTGAATAATCTTACTAAACTGGTCACTGATAGATCTATTAAAGTCTAATGGAATAATAATTGACTCAAGTGAAGTGCAGAAAACAACAATTACTTTCATGCATACATTGAACCGTTGAACAGATTTTTGTTTAAATTCACATGATTAGAATGATTTAACCCATAGATTCCAGTATATATATATATATATATATATATATATATATATATATATAAACATAATGATAGGAATGAATGTGCTTATTAGTAATGCTATTGAATGTTCTGTTTATACTTAATATTCGTTGTTTTAAAAAGGCATTATGAATATATACATATATAGATAAGATACTCTGATAAGAAATTGATAAAATAATGGCGTCGGTAATTAAACTTTTATGTGGACATTAGTGTTAACTAACTCAATCCACATCATTCTATGCAATCACTTAAGATAGAAGTATAGCAAGTCATTTAGGCAATATCAAAAGAAATTGCATAATGGAAGAGATACAGTCATTTTACTACAATAGGAATGAGAATTAAGCATGTGCTCTCATTTGAATGTACCGATTGTGGACATTTTCTCCTGTAAATGTCTTTTCATTACTAAATACTGGATGTGTGCTTCCATTTTAATCAAATTGGGGATTATGTGAGGGAGAAATTAGTGATATTCGACGGGGAGAATACGAAATTATGCATCAGCGGTTCAGTGGTATAATGTTTTCCAGCGACACGGATTGTCCTGGCGGACTTATTACTAGCCCAAAGCTAATTTACTAGCTGACAGTAAGTTGGGAAAGGGGGGGAAGATTAGCCCTGAGAATATGAACTCCATCCTTTAAAAAGATAACACCACCACTATCACTAAAATCACTAGAAGCTTGAAAACCTACAAAAGTTGTGATTGATTTGAGACGATGAGTGAGCACCTATAAGTCGAGTTCATTCCTGTAACCCATTCCGAATATTATCGAACTTACACGAATGCAGAAAATTTCAAATAGTGAATTAGTTGAACACTAAACCTTCCTTGGTAAACTTTGTTTCGATACCAGCCACGGTAGATGTACTATTGGTTAGCTCTGTTATTTGGTTTAGTGATCTTCATTGTTATTTTAGCCTTCAATGTGTCCTTTTAACTTCACCTAAATTTATTTTCTTACCTCATAACTCTAAATTAATTTCATGTATATTCCTATGACAAGTCCGTGTGTGTTGCTCAAATACATTACACGATTCAGACAAATTAAGTCTTCTTATCGGTTTGTCTAAATACGTAATATAAAATGTGTTCAAAGCTGTCGACATCATTGAAGGTATGCATATAAATGATACATAAAAACCATGTTATATTAAGGTGTAACATCACATGGTACAACACCTCTTTGGACTGTTGGCTCTGCATATATTAGCAGTTTTGGGAATTTCAGATTTATTATTTAATGCATTCTATTCTGTATGATTTCCACTGGAAAATAAGGCTTCAAGCTAAAACTTTGAAGTTTAAGTAGTAGTGGTGTTTATTTTTACGGGATGAGGTTGCTAGCCGTATGCTCAACCTCCCCTCTTTACCAGTCTTATTACTGGCCTACGGAGGTAAAGGAGTGCATCGGTAGGAGTTCTAAACCTGAACCGCATCAGGCGTGGTTGGCGAGCATTCTACTGGATTTCAGGTAAACATAGAAATCTTACATGAGAAATTGAGGTCACTATGGCTTAAGTTTACTGGGAACGTTCAATTTACGTTTAAAAAACGTCTTTATCAGCAAGCAAAACGACGTTCACTTGAATAGTCTTATTGGTGCTTTCTTAGTTATTTTCCTGAGA